GCTGGTCTCAAACTTCTGGGCTCAAGTGATCCACCCGTCTCCACGTCCCAAAGTGCTGGGATTACAGGCATGAGCCACCACACCTGGCCAGCACCCTGTTTTAAACACAATGTCCACAATTTCTCTGACTATGTACAACCAAAAGTCAGTACATCTGTTACATGATTAGAATACAAACAATTGGCTGGGAGCAGTGGCTCACGCCTGTAATCCCAGCACTTTGGGAGGCCGAGGCAGGCAGATCACGAGGTCAGGAGATCAAGACCATCCTGGACAACATGGTGAAACCCCATCTCTACTAAAAATACTAAACCCCGTCTCTACTAAAAATTAGCCAGGCATGGTGGCAGGCATCTGTAATCCCAGCTACTCGGGAGGCTGAGGCAGGAGAATGGCTTGAACCCGGGAGGCAGAGGTTGCAGTGAGTTGAGATCGTGCCACTGCACCCCAGCCTGGGCCACAGAGCAAGACTCTGTCTCAAAACAAAAACAAAAACAAAAACAAACAAACAAACAAAAAATATATATATATGAATTAGATGATACCTAATTGAGACTGGTAATTAAAGCCAGACTTGAAAACCAACTCCCTTGAAGCTAAGAAACAAAAAAGTCTCCTTCATGAAGTGTCCCTTAATTCCCCTCAATGAAGACAAGATATCTTCATCCAAAAATCATACCTTTTTTTCTGTGCCTTTCTTCTGGCATTTATCATATTTTACCTTGTATTTTGGTCATATGCTTTCCTCATCTCCTTTACTAGATTATGAATTATTTGATAGTCTATGAAGAGAATATACTCAGCTCCAGGGTCCCAGAAAGATTCATTTTCCAGGGTAGCTTAAATCTTAGCTCTCATTAAAAAAACAAAAACAAGTCCGGGCCCGATGGCTCACGCCTGTAATCCCAGCACTTTGGGAGGCTGAGGCAGGTGGAGCACCTGAGACCGGCCTGACCAACATGGTGAAACCCCATCTCTACTAAAAATACAAAAATCAGCTGGGTGTTGTGGTGTGGGCCTGTAGTCCCAGCTACTCAGGAGGCTGAGACAGGAGAATGGCTTGAACCCGGGAGGTGGACATTGCAGTAAGCCGATTTGCGCCACTGCACTCCAGCCTGGGCAACAGGGTGAGATTCCATCTCAAAAAGAAATAAATAAACCAAAAAATAAAAAACAAAAACCCCCCTGAAGCCCATGAAATCTAAAGTGGGGGTGAAACAAGATCAACAAAAAACAATGACACTTCATTATATCAAGTAATTCCTGAACTCTAAGAATATTGAACTTTGAATTAATAGGGCCCTCTGCTATTTTTTCCTTTAAAACTTGTAATAGGCCAGGCATGGTGGCTCACGCCTCTAATCCCAGCACTTTGGGAGGCCGAGGCGGGCGGATCGCGAGGTCAGGAGATCGAGACCACCCTGGCTAACATGGCGAAACCCCGTCTCTACTAAAAATACAAAAAATTAGCCGGGCGTGGTGGCGGGCGCCTGTAGTCCCAGCTACTCGGGAGGCTGTGGCAGGAGAATGGCATGAACCCGGGAGGCAGAGCTTGCAGTGAGCCGAGATCGCACCACTGCACTCCAGCCTGGGCGACAGAGCAAGACTCCGTCTCAGAAAAAAAAAAAAAAACTTGTAATAAAAATTTAATGCAGTCAACATCAATTTTATTACCTTTTATTTTAATTTTATTTTTTTTGAGACAGAGTCTTGCTCTGTTGCTCAGGCTGGCGTGCAGTGGCACGATCTCAGCTCACTGCAAGCTCTGCCTCTCGGGTTCATGCCATTCTCCTGCCTCAGCCTCCTGAGTAGCTGGGACTACAGGCGCCCGCCACCACGCCCGGTTAATTTTTTGTATTTTTAGTAGAGACAGGGTTTCGCCGTGTTAGCCAGGATGGTCTCGACCTCCTGACTTCGTGATCTGCCCACCTCAGCCTCCCAAAATTGTGGGATTACAGGCGTGAGCCACTGTGCCCAGCTGTTTTTTTTTCTTTTTGTTTTTTATACAGGGCTTCACTCCCATTCCCCAAGCTGGAGTGCAGTGGGGTGAACACGGCTCACCACAAACTCCACCTCCTGGGCTCATGAGATTCTCCTGCCTCAGCCTCCCACGTAGATGGGACTACAGGTGCATGCCATCACACCTGGCTAATTTTTTTTTTTGGTAGTTTTTGTAGAGACGGGGTTTTGCCATATTGCCCAGGCTGGTCTTGAACACCTAGGCTTAAAGCAATTTGCCTGCCTCAGCCTCCCAAAGTGCTGGGATTATAGGTATAAACCACTGTGCCTGGCCCTGATTTTATTACCTTCTACTGAGAACAGACAGCTGTCAGTAAAATTATGCTTGGAGAGTAACAAACAGGAGAAAGTCTTAAGTTCTCAATGACTCTGAAGAAGGCAAGGGTATAAAGAGAGAGAGAAACACAAACCAATTAAAAATCTTTATCACCTCACTCCAAAAAGATCTGCATACAAATTTGAGTAGTTTTAATATCTAATGTTTTCAAATTATCAGAAAATGTTGGCCTGCTTAACTGGTATTCTAACCACAGTCCAGTTGCTTCTGCACTGGGCTGAATTCTTAGCGCAGTCAGAGAATGCTGTTTCCAAGCCAGAGGCTCCCGCAGCCCCCACTTTAGCTTTGGTGTGCGTGTGTGTATGCACAGACACCACAGTGAGCACTCCAGGGAGCCTACGGGACTCCCTCCAGCTTTGGTGTGCCTCAGTCTGCAGTCACACCACAATGAAGGCTCGCAGTTGAGGCTTTTAGGCTCACTTTCCACATTTCTGTCTAGGGCTGTGTAGAGATTTCTTGATATTTTACTTCCTTTCCCATATAAAATTTAGTGGGCATTTGTTTTTTTGTTTGTTTTTGTTTTTTTGAGATGAAGTCTTGCTCTGTTGCCCAGGCTGGAGTGCAGTGGTGCAATCTTGGCTCACTGTAACCTCCACCTCCCAGGTTCAAGCAATTCTCCTGCCTCAGCCTCCCAAGTAGCTGGGATTACAGACGTGCATCACCATGCCCAGCTAATTTTTGTATTTTTTTTAGTAGAGACAGGGTTTCGCCATGTTGGCCAGGCTGGTCTCGAACTCCTGACCTCAGGTGCTCCACCCGCCTTGGCCTCCCAAAGTGCTGGGATTACAGGCGTGAGTCACCGTGCCCGGCTGCATTTGTTAAGGAATTTTTTAAGAAAGGAAGCTTCCATAGAAAATATCAGAGAAATAAAACAAAAAACAAACAAAAAAACACCTATGAATGTTTACTCTTTAAAAGGGATTGCCAAAAGACACTTGATATTGGTATAGTATTTCCTATTCAAGAGCTAGTTTAAATAGGCTCGAGAGGGACTAATTCCTTTAGAAACCACCAGTATAAAAAGTAGTGGGTTTTTTTTCTTTTTCATTTATTTATTTATTTATTTATTTAGAGACAGGGCCTCACTGTGTTGCTCAAGCTGGAGTGCAGTGGCGCAATCATGGCTCACTCTATTTAGCCCCTTACCTTCTGGGCTCAAGCAATCCTCCCACCTCAGCCTCCCAAAGTAAAATATTTTACAAAGCCTCCTCAGGCTACCATGCCTGGCTAATTTTTTTATTTTTTGGAGAGATAGGGTCTCACTATGTTTCCTAGGCTGGTCTCAAACTCCTGGGCTCAAGTGATCCTCCCACCCTGGCCTCCCAACGTGCTGGGCGTGAGTCACTGCACCTGGTCAAAAAATGAGTCTTAAGATTTCACTGGAAGATTACTTATGTAAATAATAAAGGGGGCTTATAATTTATTCTGTTACTTCCAAATCCCAGTTCAAAATTCTGGATTTTAATTCTGAGATAGTTATTTATATGTATTTTTAAACTTCTCAGTGATTTGAAGCTCATTTATATTTTTTAAAAAAGTATTTTCAGCCGGGCGCGGTGGCTCAAGCCTGTAATCCCAGCACTTTGGGAGGCCGAGAGGGGCGGATCAGGAGGTCAGATCGAGACCATCCTGGCTAACACGGTGAAACCCCGTCTCTACTAAAAAAATACAAAAAATTAGCCGGGCGTGGTGGCGGGCGCCTGTAGTCCCAGCTACTCCGGAGGCTGAGCCAGGAGAATGGCGTGAACCTGGGAGCTGGGAGGCGGAGCTTGCAGTGAGCTGAGATCGCGCCACTGCACTCCAGCCTGGGCGACAGAACGAGACTCCTTCTCAAAAAACAAAAAAGTATTTTCATTGAAAAATGAATTTTCTTCAATTTGTGATGTAGAAGGTATATTAATATAAGAAGTCCAATTCTTCCTTAGCTGGCTGTGCTTCTGAGTGCTTAGTAGAGACACGATACCTTATTCTCTACTCATTCTTCCTTATCAGTGGGAGGAAGGGAATGTTCCAAGCGAACATAGGCAAGATTTAATCAGCTATGTGGCCACTAAAAGAGATGAAAGGTGACAAGTTCTTGCAATTACACAACTTCTTCCCTCTGTTGCTCATGTACTAGACAGCACAGAGAATGTGGCCTTTAGCTGGTAGCTAGTCCTCAACATACCATGGCTCACACCCGCAGCTGAGTTGAGAAGCCTGGGGGATAAACAGAAACGGCAGTGCTAGGGAAAGAACAGAACTTATGATAAGTGAAAAACCAAGAGGAAGAGGCTCTCAATTATGTCTTTTTCCTGGGAGCACAGTACATTCCCTTTGAATTCAGTTTCAATAAAACTTTTAAATAATATGCTATACTTGGAGGAAACTATGAATACACTATAATGGAAAATATGGTCTAAGACTATGGTGGAATGCATTGCATTTTATGGTCAGCACTTATTTGGCCCTGCTGATAATAACCAAATGCTCAGAAGTTCTACTGCTCTACCAAGGAAGGTCACCTGAAAAATCTGAACTGGAGACATAACTAGAAGCAAACAGAAAAAGCAATAAATCAACAGGGTTATCAAATATTTTACAAAACCCTAGAGAAACCACATATTTAAACCAAAAGGAAGAAGATGAAAAAGATGTTTCTCACCTTTTGAAAGTTCTCCTTCCACAAATCTTCTATGACTATATATCCTCGTAAACCCCAGTCATATAATCTCTCCCCACTGACCTTGAAACAAAATAGAAAAGATCTTACCATTTGACCCAGCAATCCCTACTATTGGGAATAATAATGGAATGATGGAATATAAATCATTTTACTATAAAGATATATGCATGCATATGTTCATCATAGCAGTATGCATAATAGCAAAACATGGAATCAACCTAAATGCCCATCAATGGTAGATTTTTTTTTTTTTTTTTTTTTTTTGAGATGGAGTTTTCGCTCATTGCCCAGGTTGGAGTGGAATGGCGCAATCTTGGCTCACTGCAACCTCTGCCTCCTGGGTTCAAGCAATTCTCCTGCCTCAGCCTCCCAAGTAGCTGGGATTACAGGCACCCGCCACCACACCCAGCTAATTTTTTGTGCTTAGTAGAGACAGGGTTTCACCACATTGGTCAGCATGGTCTCGAACTCCTGGCCTCAGGTGATCCACCTGCCTCAGCCTCCCAAAGTGCTGGGATTACAGGTGTGGGCCACCATGCCCGGCCAATGGTAGACTTGATAAAGAAAATGTGGTACTTATACACCACAAAATACTATGCAGCCAAAAAGAATGAGCTCATGTCCTTTGCAGGGACAGGGATGGAGCTGGGGGCCATTATCTTAAGTGAACTAACATAGGAACAGAAAACGAGATACCACATGTTCTTACTTGTAAGTGGGAACTAAACCTTGACAACAAATGACACAAAGAAGGGAACAGAGACCAAGGCCTACTTGAGGGTGGAGGGTGAGAAGAGGGCGAGGATCAAAAAACCACCCATTAGGTACTAGTCTAATTACCCAGGTAACAAAATAATCTGTACACCCAACCCTCATGACACACAACTTACAATAACAAACCTGCGCAAGTACCCCTAAAGCTAAAAGTTAAAATAGAAAGAAAAAAAAAAAAAAAAAAAAAAAAAAAAAAAAAAGACTCCTACTCTGGAGACAGCCACATGGGCTTCTCAACCAGCAACCAAGTTCACCCTCTCCACTCCAGCCATTTACTGCTTAAACCATAACAGGCTGAAATAATGTTTCATTATTTTTATATCTAGGGCTGGAAGATGTTACTCACTGTTTCTGACCTGGGGCTGGAGCAGGGACAGAAGCATTAACTATCTGCCTCCAGGACTGTTACAAACAATGTTGAGCAAATGCTGGAAAGTATTGGTATTTGTTACCAAAGCCATCAAGCTCCCTGAGCTGGGGCCACTGGACTCCCACATACAACTGTAGCCCACTTTAGGAATCTGGACTCAATTCTGTCATGAACAACCAAGGGAGCGCAGTCTCAGGTCAGTCTGGCTCAGAGTCCAATTCGGGTAACTGCACTGCTGTCTGCTCCTGGAACTGAGTTTCCGTGTGATGTGGTAGTTCGAGCAACTAAAGTCCCTGTGTCCACAATCTGCCCAGGACCTCAAAACCTAGAGCCTGCCTTGCTCTTACCAGTTTCTGAGGGACACCATCTCTAGCGTTCCACTAACTCCAGGTATCACCCTTTTCAGACTACCTACTGGTCTCCATCAGTGGTTCTCAAACAACATAGGCATTAATAACAAACCACCGGAGGCCTTGCTAAAACACAGACTGCTGGCCCTTATTCCCAGAGCTTCTGATTCAGCCAGTCTGGGGTGGGGCCTGAGAGTTTGCATTTCTAACAAGTTCTCAGGTGATGCTGCTGCTTCTGGTCTGGTAATGCACTTTGAGAATCGGTGGTACAACTTTATCCATGTTGCCTGCCACTGTGATCGACCTGCCTGCCAGGGTACCATAAGACTGAGGCTTCAAGGGTAAGAAAGGAGCAGTCAATTGAAAGCCCCGAAAAGGGCACTCCCAGCAGAGGGGATTACAGTCCCCAAAGTCCCCAGCAAGGAAAGCAAGGGCACCAGTACCAGGGAGTAGAGGAGGTCAGAGCAGTCTGTGTCTACAATACCAACAAGAGCAGGTTGTGACTGGACAGGCATAAACTGAGTGACCCATAATTATCAGCTTTGGAATTTGAGTCTGTAGACTTTCATGTAAGTATACAAAAAATTTATCTTAAATTTTTGCTGACGAATATTCAAACAATCATGCAAATTCGTGTTCAAATTCTGTGAACACTGGCATTACTGGAAGAAGGACCAGAACTGAGACATATAGTGGAGAAAATAATTTAAATTTGCTGTATTCACCTATATGTACAAACAAATTTTAGTCTGGTGTTATAAGAACTGCAAAATAAAATAAAATTAAGCGTCAGATTCATATACACACAAACAAGAATGAGGGACATCAGGGATTACAGAGTTTCTCTTACCTGGGCAAACACGATGGCTTGTTGTGGATAATAGAGGGAGGCAGCTAATCCCATGAAACCAGGCGGATACACTAGCTTCTTTATTTTTGAACCTAATAAATAAAAGGTTGTACACGCCATCAGATGATTCATTATCCTCACCATCACAATTTACCTTATCCATTTAACACAGAACGAGGCCAGGCACAGTGGCTCACGCCTGTAATCCAAAAGCTTTGGGAGGCCAAGGGGGGAGGATAACTTGAGGCCAGGAGTTTGATACCAGCCTGGGCAACATAGTCAGATCCTGTATCTACAAAAGTTAAAATAAAAAAATTAGCCAGGCGTGGTAGTGTGCGCCTATAGTCCTAACTACTTGGGAGGCTGAGGTGGGAGGATTCCTTGAGCCCAGGAGTTCGAAGTTACAATGAGCTATGATCACACTCTGCACTCCAGCCTGGGTGACAGAGCAAGACCGTGTCTCTTAAGAAACGCAAACAACAAAACCAAAATAACCCCACCAATGAATAAGATTTCTTTGGTCCTAAACTGAAAGAATGTGCCAAATAAAGTCGTGTGCACCAAAACGCTTTTGCACAGCTTTACTGAGATAAAATTCACATTCACCCATTTAAAGTACAGTTCAATGGCTTTTAGTATATTGACAGAGGTTTGTAACCATCATTACAATTAATTTTACAGCTTTTTCATAAATCACCAAAAGAAACCCATTAGCAGTCACTCCTCAACTCCCCTGTACTGTCCAGCCCTAGGCAACCACTGATCTACTTTCTATCTCTTTATGTTTGCCTACTCTGGATATTTCTTTCTTTCTTTTTTTTTTTGAGAGTTTTGCTCTTGTCACCCAGGCTGTAGTGCAATGGTGCAATCTTGGCTCACTGCAACCTCTGCCTCTCGGGTTCAGGCAATTCTCCTACCTCAGCCTCTCGAGTAGCTGGGGCTACAGGCACACACCACCACGCCCTGCTAATTTTGTATTTTTAGTAGAGACGGGGTTTCGCCATGTTGGCCAGGCTGGTCTCGAACTCCTGACCTCAGGTGATCCACCCGCCACAGCCTCTCAAAGTGCTGAGATTACAGGTGTAAGCCACTGCGCCCGGCCCTCTGGATATTTCATATAAATGGAATCATGCAGTAAATATATGGTCCTTTGTGACTGGCTTCTTTCACTCAGCACCACGTATTTTCAAGAGAACACCTTTTTTTCCCTAAGAGAGCAGAAAAAAAGATCGTTTTAAAAACAAACAAATGAGTATTTTGGTTTCTAGGGTTTATGTTCTTTTACAGCAGTCTGGCTTCCTATTTAAATATTAAACACAAGCGTTCCTCTTCTCCCCTTTCTGCAACCCTGTTAAAAAAACAGTAAGAAAAAACATTAATAAGCCAGGCGTGGTGGCTCACGCCTGTAATCCCAGCACTTTGGGAGGCCGAGGTGGGTGGATCACAAGGTCAGGAGATCGAGACCATCCTGGCTAACATGG